ATTATGTTTTTTTGTTAACTAATCAATTGTTACGACAGAGTCCGTAATTGTTTTGGAGCTTGGACAACCTAAAGGGTTGCCGGGGCTTCGGCTCAAAGCAGAAATTGGATCGGATTGGTTTTTAGTCATTAAGAGTCTGACACTCTCTCGCTTCGCTTAGGGCCAAAGAAATCATCGGATGATTACCCCCCACAAGAAACATGAGTCCGTAATTATTAATTGTATTTCTAACCACCTCTATGTGTACATTTTAAATGCAATAAATACTTGAATAGTGAAAAAACGCCTTTAAATAACCAGATAGGCAAAGAATATAAAAAATATATACTAACACGTTTTATCGGATAATTTATTATTGTATAGGTGTGTGTTAGGTAATTACTATGCTATACTATGCTAATTATAATCTAATAAGATTTAAGTCTGATACTTTTAAAGTCTATAATTGAAATCATGAAATCAATCGGATAATCGACCACAAAGCGAGCTAATAGGAATATTAGTGCAAAACTGTTATTTCAATTTGCGGTTTTTGTTTCCGAACCATTGCCTGTGTTCAATATAAACGTGATTGGACTTTAATTCTTCGTCATTACTGCGTAGTATTATATTCCTTTGGTGACGTGTTTTTGTATTGACATTAACTTGAACAAACATAAGTTTTCTCGAAAGTAAAAGATACATGCCGCCGTGCACAAGTCACGTAAACTTACGTAGGTCTCTTTATCCGAGGTGCTGTAACAGGCACCGTTGCACCTTGGGGGCTGATCTACTAAGAGGACTCGGTGCCTCCTTCGAATGCCACCAGGGGCAATGAAAATTCCACACTCCCTAGTTCTTTTTCCCAAAATGTTAAGCCCCTTTGGAAGATTTCCCCCGTCGACAAAAAATAGGTAAAGGACACATCTTCAGTTTTATACACACATGTAGGTCCCTTTTTTTTTAGTAATTTGTCTTAATTAAAAATACTGACAACTTATTAATGTCTTTTGACACAGTATTATCATTATTATCTTCATCATAATATTAGTTCTGGTTCACTCACTTCTGGGTACAGACCTCAACCTTTTCTTCCACACTTACTTCTCAGTCTTGTCCATCTCCCTTCTACGTGTATCCAGCGATACTGACGATAAACCACCCAAAACATTTTGACACAATTCATTATTAAACTAATGATGTAAAGTGATGTGTGGTTGAACATATAAAAATAGAAGAAATGAAATACAGAGATACTTACATGATATGAATAAAAATAGCTGTACGTAAAAGTATCGATTCAAACAACGGATGTCCAAAACAATTGGGCGTGCCCCAAAGTCCTAAGCAAAACAAAGAAGTTTTCGTCATCGTCCATACAACAAACAGTCGACTCCAAACTTATTGCTTTAAAGAAATAAAACATAAGAGGTTTAGGGTGATGAGTGGTCATAAAGTTCAATTTAATCGTACTCAACTTCTACAAACATAAACTTGAGTTATTGGCTTCAATATTTCGTAGTACAGCTAATAGCGGTCCTTGATAGAACTTGGGACAAGGTTCTGCAAGAATATTATGTTTCAAGCTCATATTTCACCTATGTACACACGGCCATACATCAATCTATACAAAACCAGTTTATCCTGGTATGGCGTTGAAGCATCTTTCCGCACATTTAACGCTTAGTTTATACTGGTTATGTAAAGCTCGATGGTTAGCCGTGTGTACTAGTGCTAAGCCGTGTCTATTATGCCGTGTGATGATGGTGACGTAGAACTCATTTGTCTTATAGCCGTTTCCTCTAACCACATCTACAGCAGTTTACTCTTAACTAAAAGTTACTTAGAGGGCGCACCTAATCCAACCCCGTACCTGGACTGTTAGGTATATTAAATGTAAGTGAAAAAAAATGTCGTCAAGTGTCATCTATTTTAGCTTAGGGTATCTGTGTGTATCTGTGTGTATCTATATGTGAACACGTAGTCTATCTATTGTGTAAACAAAATGATGTTATGCCTAAAACAATTGTCGCGGAGAACCTAACGGGTAACCGGGGCTCCGGCTCGACGTGCAGGAGAAGGAACGGGGTGGTTTTTAGTCAGTAAGAGTCTGACACTCCCTCCCGCCTCACCCAGGCGGGAGCAGTCATTCGATGATTTTCCCCCCTTAAAAAAAAGGGTATCTTAAAATTTAAGAGTGCTTGGTGAAAATTTGTGAAAGTCTATTCTTCCCGCGGGTTTCATTAGTGTTGACAGAGACCGGGCAGCAGCTCTTTCGGATAAATCTTAACCTTTGGACTGCCAAGCGTGCAGGTTATAGCAAATTCTCTATGGTCCAGCATTAACAGTGGATAAGCACAGGCTGTTGATGATGATGATGATAATAATAGTGATGTTGTGGACGGTTCTCCATACAGATCTTCGGTTCAAATTGGCGCTACTAGACCCAGGTAAGATATTTTTTATTGTTAATATAATGCCGTTTGACCACTATCTCGCTTGGCGGTAATCGATGTGAGCGACGATTTTCAATTACCAAATTTATTATAATAGTGATCGATTTGCAAGAGCCTGGAAACACACATAATATAACGCCTTTTATCCCCGAAGGGGTAGGCAGAGGTGCACATTACGGTACTTAATGCCACTGTACAATGTAACACCCACTTTTCACTATTTATGTTATGAGTCCTAAGTAATAGCGGGTGAGCCTAATGCCATGTACCAGGCACAACTCCAGATTCCGTGCTACTACTGAGATTTTTTTCAAAACCCAGTAGTTACTTTACCCGACCCGGGAATCGAACCCGAGACCCCGTGCAGTCGCACTTGCGACCACTCGGGCAACGAGGCAGGCGATAGTCTTGAAGTTAAAATTTCTAGTCACCCAGGCTCCTATTGCCTTGTAGGTAGTTTATGGAGGCCAGATGTCCAAATCTGCATAAAACTCTTTGGTATCACGACTATATTCACAAATGACCAGAATAAAGAGGAGATTTGTAACTAAGTCCTACAGGCAATTAATTAGCCAAGTTTCTCGCCTGTCTCAAATTGTTTTTTGTAATCAAAATGAATTTTTTGTTAGTAAGTGGCAAAGTAAATTACATTATCTCTATAAGCTTCAAACAAAGTAAAGTAAGATCATCTTTTCTTCCTGAAATTTTGCTATTTTCCTGTAGGTACTTTATTATTATGACTAATTTTGTACAATAAATTGTATCAATGCTGTGTCGACTTACAAACTGGAATAGGGTAGATGCCTAGTTTTTATTTTAATGTCCATCTGGTAGGTTATTTTAAATCATTAGACACGTATTTTTTATTTTCTTACAGAAACGAATACTTTCGACGATATATTGATTTGAAATGTTGCGTGACGTCACTTCTATGTACATTTTAGGTATACGTAGAAATGACGTTTTAGCCCCCACTACTAAACTTTGATTCGTTTTATATAAGTATTGTTTTATTATACGACAAAATAAAAAAAATACGTGTCTAGTATTTTTTCATTAGGTACCTAACTTATGCACTAATTAGATTTTTAATTTTGATACCCTGTCATCGTCCCAATTATAGGAAGAAATATTGTCTGCTTTGTTTAGATTAGAGGATCATCAAAATCGGTACAGTTATTCTCGAGTATAACGTACACGTGTAAAACAGTGCAACAAATCTTTTACCTTTACAGAGTTACTTATTGATATGATTAAAACTTACCTATCCGCTATGGTTACAGAAAAAAAATCTCATTTCAATAACATTTTTAAAGAAAGACGATAATCCATTCAAGAATACAACTAAAAATAGGTTTCACATTAGGTACTTTTATGAATACAACCTTTTGCGAGAAGGATCTATGCGTAATAAGGCGCTTTATGAAAATAGGACTCTTTCCATAATATAATAGCTACCTGCCTGTAAATTTGAGTAATAGAGGTCGTTTACTCACATCCCAAAGTTACTTCAGCTGCCAAAGAGGTTCAATGCCATTTTTTCCTATAGGACACAAAAAGGAAGGACTGATATCCCAATATTCTGAAAATACCTTAGTTATATCAAACTTCCTTATATTCTGCCTATTGTTGATGGATTGATTCCGTCATCAACGAAGTATTATCCTGTAGGTTAAACATAATTTTAGATAAAATATATTGAACTGGC